TGGGCGAGAGCAGCGTGTATCTGAGCGCGCGCGTCCGGTTTTGTGCGAGAGCAAAGGAAATCCGCGCGCGAGTGGAGAGATTCGTGCTCGCGCATTGTATTAATGTGCTTTCGCACTACAATAATTAGGGATGGGCGATACCACTTATTCTGTTTTCGATACGATACCGATATTTTTCAAGGCAGTATCGTCGATACCGATACGATACTTCTGAACTAAACTTTTAAATGATGAAATATATTAAATTATTAAATTACTAAGAGTAAAATGGGTAATGATAACCACTTAACTTTGTTTAAAACACATTTTAACATTCAATATGCCTTAATTGTAATTTATTAGGTTATATTTTTGTTTACACATGGTTCAAATGTGTTTTTTGTTTACACATGATTCAAATCTACAAATACTACAGCTGAACTATGGTCACTTTAGTAACACCATGGTTCATTATCATAAGGGACTGCCAGTGACAGTCTGTTGCATCCATAAAATGCAACCTTTTTGTTCTGACAGTGTATGATTTCTATTAACATTACAGAATAGAACATGATCTATATTATCTTTCAACGTTCAATTTAAGTAAATGTAACTGTACAAACTATGTAGGTTACGATTTCAATTTGTTTATTGTGAAATAACTCAAACATATGTTTTTTTCTGTCCTCTGATAAGCATTGTTCAGGGCTGCTGTTCCAAAAAGCTTTAATGCTTTCTTATGATACTTTTTGGAAACGCAGCCCTGTTTGAATGCACTTTTAGAAGTGAGTGAACGCTCTCTGTGATGGATTGGTTCTGTCTTGCAACATTTGCGTGTGTTCAGATGAGCAGGAAAATAGTTCTATCCTACACAATTACTCGCTAACAAAGGTTATTCGTCCAATTCAATGCATTTGTACACATTATTATTATTATTATTATTTTAAATAAACAAAATCACTGGTAAATAAAACACACCTTAGTATCGATATTTTTAGTTTGAGTATCGATACTTATGATACTCGCGTCAGTATCGATATATTGATACTTAGGATCGATACGCCCATCCCTAACAATAATGCGCTCTCGACATTTGTCAGTAAAATAACGCCATACTGTCAGTGAAAACCTCCTTCCGAGGTGTTTCTGATAAATTTGGGACACAGATGGACCTTCAAGTGGGACTTAAATATGCAATGGAGGGATATATAAAAAATATTAAAATAAATATGTAAAAATACAGATCACAATGCAAACGGGAGAATTATGTTACGGTCGTCACGATCGCAATGACAACATCCCGGATCAACACCGTTCATATACCGGCTTATCCTCTCAGGATAACTGGAATTAGTGTTACAATTACCCCAGGCACATCGTTTTTCCATTTTTGTAGCATAAACACCATTAAAACGATGCGAGCTTCGGATCTTCCAATGTTACTCTATGGCACTGAAACCTAAAGACGTCTGAGTTCCACTCCCCGTGCAACTAGGAGTGGAACTGGACTACAAACTGGACTACATCCGACTACTACGCTCAACTCAGAGGACTGTAAGAGACTGTTGTGTTTTTGTGTTCACGGAAACATGGCTCAACAACAGCGTTCCGGACTGCGCTATTCATCTCGAT